TGTTGAGACCCTTTACCACTGATGCTAAGACACTCAAGGAGAGAAGAGAGCAAGATCGTGTGTTTGGGTTGCTTCTGTCTCTGAATCAAGGCTATACTGATGTAATCCAGCACATCTTGAGAGAAGACAAGATTCCTACCCTAGAGCAAGTTTGTGCTAAGATACAAAAGGAGTATGGCAATCAGGAGCTGTTTGGCAACAAGAATGCAAGTCTACCTACGGCTAACAAGGTGGGAGTGGCAAAACATAGAGACAAGAAGACATGGGTTTGTGAGCATTGTGAGAAAAAGGGTCATCTCAAAGACAAATGCTGGATCCTACACCCTCATTTAAAGCCAGATAAGTTCAAGAAGGACAAGATGAAGGCGAATGTGGCAGAAGCAAGTGAAGGCTCCGAAAATGCTGAAAGAGCTATGGTGCAGTTCGGTCATCATGAGAAGGCTTTACAAGCTATACAAGACAAGAGCTCAGCTTCCACCTCTCAGGAGACCATTGTGATGAACAAAGCTGATCTAGAGAGCCTCCTTCAATCCATTGCATCTAAGTTACATCCAGGCGGTATATCTCTCTTATCTTCTAACTCTAGTGATTTAAACTCATTAGTATTAGACTCAGGAGCTTCTCACCATATGATTAGTAATCCTAAGTTGTTAGAGAACATTAAACCGGCTTTAGGGAATGTTAAGGTTGCAAATGGTCATAATGTGCCAATAGAAGGTATAGGTTATATTAATGTGTTTAACAAGAAGCTAAGTGCCTTTTATATGCCTAAGTTCACCTCTAATCTTCTTTCTGTAAAGAAAACTACTAAGGACTTAAACTGTTTAGCTATTTTTAGTCCTAATGATGTTAAGTTGCAGGATATTGAGAGTGGAAAAGTGTTTGGGCAAGGCAGCACCAAGGATGACTTATATGTGTTCCAAGACATCTCTTTAAATTCTGTTTCTAAGAATAATGTTTCTTCTATCTTTGCAAACTCTGTTAAGACATCTGTTGTTTTATGGCATGAAAGACTTGGTCACCCTCATTCTAGAGCTTTAAGTTTACTTATGCCTGGTTTTTCTTATGATTGTGCAAATTGTGAAGCATGCATATTAGACAAACATTGCAAAACTGTTTTTCCTAAGTCTAGTGCGATTTATGAAAAATGTTTTGATCTTGTGCATTCTGATGTGTGGTCTTCACCGTGTGCATCTAGAGATAACCATAAGTATTTTGTCACATTTATAGATGAGAAATCTAAGTATACTTGGGTAACCTTGATGCCATCTAAGGATAGAGTTTATGATGCATTTATAAACTTTCAAAACTATGTGACTAACTACTTTGATGCAAAGATTAAGATTTTAAGAACAGATAATGGAGGTGAATATACAAGCAACAAGCTCAAAGAACACTTAGAGAAATATGGAATTCTTCATCAAACCAGCTGCCCATATAACCCCCAACAAAATGGTGTTGCTGAGAGAAAGAATAGGCACCTAATGGAGGTGGCAAGGGCTATGCTATTTCAAAAACACATGCCTAAGAGGTTTTGGGGCGATGCAGTAATGACAGCTTGCTATCTCATCAACCGAACACCAACTCGTATCCTTGATGATAAATCTCCTTTCCAAATCCTAAATAACTCAAATCCTAGTATTGACCATTTGAGGGTGTTTGGTAGTCTGTGTTTTGTGTTTGTTCCAGGTGACTTAAGGAACAAGCTGGAGCCTAAGAGTAACAAGTGCGTATTCATTGGATACTCAACAACTCAGAAGGGCTACAAGTGCTTCGATCCAGTCACCAACCGGTACTATGTGTCAAGGGATGTCAAGTTTTTGGAAGACAAAGCCTACTTTGGGGAAAAGAGTTGGGAGAGTGTGAAGGACCTACCTAACTCAACCGCTGATAGAGCTTCAAGCCTCCGACGAATTCTGGAGCACTTAGGGAATGCAAGCTCCCCTCAGGCAGAAAAGGAAGCTCCATCTTTTCCAAATGAGGATGTGCATGAAGTTAGAGAGGATGAGAACAATGCACCTCAGGATCTTTTGGATGATCACCAAGAAAGTGATAGAGGAGAGAAGTCTAGTGAAGAAGTGGCAGAGACGGGTCAGTCTAGTGAAGAAGTGGCAGAGGAGACGGGTCAGTCTAGTGAAGGAGAGGTCATTGAATCGGGTCAGTCTAGTGAAGGAGAGTTCATTGAATCTTCAAGCGATGACGATACCTATCAAGCTCCACAAGTTACACCAGATCCAGTCTACACTCGGGAGAATCAAAGAAAGAGTACAAGAGAGAAGAAATCCCCCTCAAAGTGGAAGAATACGAGAGTTTACTACAACTGCCAAGCTGTAGCTCATCCAATTCAAGCTACTTGTTCGATTGACCTTCTTCCGGAGGAGCATAAAGCTTTTATCAGCAAGCTGGATGTAGAACTCATTCCACAAAGCTATGAGGAAGCCAAGGAAAGTAAGGAATGGACTAATGCTGTTGATGATGAGGTTCAAGCTATGGTGAGGAATCAAACTTGGGTTGAAGAAGAACTACCAAAAGGAAAGAAGTGTGTTAGCTCAAAGTGGGTATTCACCATTAAGTACAAGAGTGATGGTGAAATCGAGAGATATAAGGCAAGGCTGGTTGCAAGAGGGTTTACCCAAACTTATGGGGATGACTATAGGGAAACATTTGCTCCAGTAGCTAAGCAACATACAGTGAAAGTGGTTCTCTCTTTAGCAGTTAATTTGGATTGGGAGTTGTGGCAAATGGATGTCAAGAATGCTTTCCTTCAGGGGGAGTTAGAAGAAGAAGTCTACATGTCACCTCCTCCGGGTTTAGAAGACATAGTGGCTCCGGGAAAGGTCTTAAGGCTTCGGAAAGCAATCTATGGGCTTAAACAATCTCCAAGAGCTTGGTATCACAAGTTAAGCTCTACACTACTGGCTAATGGCTTCAAGAGGTCACACTCTGATCACACTCTATTTACTAAGCAAGATATTCATGGCATAGTAGTAGTGTTGGTCTATGTGGATGATTTGATTATTTCAGGGAGTAACAAAGAGGGTATTCAAGCCATTAAGTCCTCTTTGCACTCAGCCTTTGATATTAAAGATTTGGGTGTTTTGAAGTATTTCTTAGGGATTGAAGTGTGTAGATCCAAGGAGGGACTATTTCTCTCACAAAGGAAATATGCACTTGATCTTCTAAAGCTTACAGGAAAACTTGGAGCTAAACCGGTGGACACACCACTAGAGCAAGGATACAAGGTCAATCAAAAGGGGGAGAAGGATGATACTCCATATCATTGCCCGGAACAGTACCGAAGACTCGTGGGTAAGCTCATATACTTAACATATACTCGGCCTGATCTTTCTTTTGCTGTGAATCAGGTGGCTCAACACATGCAAGTACCTACGGTATACCATTGGAGCCTGGTGGAAAGGATTCTGAGATATATCAAAGGGAGTCCTGGCAAAGGCATTTGGATGGGAAGAAATTCAAGCACGGAAATAGTGGGATACTGTGATGCAGATTACAATGGAGATCGCAACACAAGGCAGTCTACAACCGGCTTTTGCACCTTCATTGGTGGAAATCTTGTGACTTGGAAGACAAAGAAGCAGAAGGTGGTGTCTTGTTCCAGTGCTGAAGCAGAGTATAGGGCGATGAAGAAGCTCACAAATGAGCTAACTTGGCTAAAGGCTCTACTTAAGGACTTCGGGATAGAGCAGAAGACGCCAATCACCTTCCATTGCGACAACCAAGCTGCTGCCATCCATATAGCCACTAATCCAGTGTTTCACGAGAGGACCAAGCACATAGAGACGGATTGCCACAAGACAAGAGAGAAGATCGAAGATGGTACAATTCTCCCTTGTTTTACTAAGAGTTCGGACCAATTGGCCGACATTTTTACCAAGGCAGCAAGTAACCAAGTTTGCCAATTTATCCATGGTAAGCTTGGTCTTGTAGACCTAACACATCCTTGAGAGAGACTCTCCAACTTGTAGGGATAATACTCTTTTTCCCTAAGCTTGGTTTTGTCCCACGTGGTTTTCCAAGCTTAGGTTTTTAATGAGGTTATCCTTGCAAGTGCCAAGTTTATACACAATCAGTATTGTAGTATAAACTTGAGGGGGAGTGTTAATCAAGAAGGTATTTACTAGTAACTAATTAATAGTTACATAGTAAAATACAGTTACTTGAGTAATAAGGAAGTTAGTTTGTATAAGAAAGAAGAGGGAAAAAGAGGATAAAAGGCTAAAGGGATAAGGTGGCAGTACACTTTGTCTTATAGCGCTGTACCTTCACCCTTATCCTCTTGTTACCGTTATGAGCTGTAAAGGGGTGAGTCATACACGGTTTGTATAAGGCTGAATGAGGACGCAATAGTGGCTTTGTGCGTAACCCTTTCAGACCTAGAATGTGTTCTATATAAACCGTGTATCCCCCTTCATTGTAGATAACTTTTCATCATCTAATACTTTTTCACATTTTCCTATCATGAGAGTCGAATCCTTATCCTACAATCTTCTATAATTTACATTAATGAGTTTAAATTTAAAATTTAAAATATATTGATGACTTGTATTAATGAATTGTTTTTATTGATATTTTTTTTGCTGAAGTGTCATCTCCTAAAAGCTTGAAAATACTGATTTATGAATTATTGTTGTGTTGATTTCTCTATTTTTTTTTTTAAAGATGGAAGCTATAAATCATAATATAGAAATTTAGATTATCATTGGGAATTGACCACAACTTAATTGCCTTGGACTTTTGATTTGTTTCCTTTTAATACAAACAGTTAACGACACAAACAAAAATATTAGTTTCTTTTATCCAACTGGAAAAAGTACAAAAGAAAGAAAAAACGACAACGCCGTACTAAAACGGTGTCGTGTTATTGTTGTGGCGAGAAGCCAGCGTGACAACAATTGACAAATCCGTCGTTTTGCCCCCGTTGATCGGCAGGTGAAGCTCCGTCCACCGCCTCTCTCTCTAATTCCCTTTCTCCCTCCCTCATGACGCCGCCGAGACCACCGTCTGGGCGAGCAAGGCCGCTGCGTGATTATTCCGAACCAGAGAAGATGGAAGGTACCGGAAGTTGGGACACGCTTGAATGGACCAAACTCGATGTAATTGCTCTTTCACTTCTCCCCGATTTCTAGGGCTTCTCATGTTTTCCCCTTCTGAAACACGTGAATTACGTTATTGGGGATTCAAAAAGTTCATATTCTGGGTATTGTTGGATTGATTGCTCAAATTCTAATAATGTTTTGTTGTTGTTGTTGTTGGCTTATATTTCGATTAGTCGCAGCCAGTTTCAGGGTCTGCATCTTTCGCGAATTTGGGTTGCTTGCTGGAATCGGAGAGGGTCGTCGTCGAGGTATGGTTTTAGAGTTGGTCAAAGTGATTGTATTTTAATTCCAATTTTACCATATCCGGATGTTGATATTGAGACTTGGTATGCAAATATGCTTCACTCGTGTCCATTGGAAATCATCTCGGATATCAAGTATTGGTTATAGCATTTGTCTATGATCATAGAGTATGTAGAGTTTGTTTTTTTGGTATCTTTTTATCTGATTTTTGGACATTGTTTGCAGGGTTATGGAGTTGTCCTTATTAACACCGATGAGGCAGGAACCCTGTTGGTGACAAACTTCCGTATTCTGTTCTTGGTATGATATTGTCGTCTTTCCTCTGTCAATCCGTATTGCATTTGAGTGTGCACGCTAATCATCTGCTTATTTTTTATCTAATTTTTCTGGCCAATGTATTATTAGTCTTAGAATGAAGAATGCAGGTCTTAAGCTCACTTATATTCACAATCTCAAATATTTGTTTCTCTTTGTGAAGAGTGAAGGTACCAGAAAAGTCATCCCACTTGGGACAATCCCATTGGCAACTATTGAGAAGTTTAACAAAATGGTCAGTTGCTATATCCCTGGAGACAGAGTTATGTCATGAATACTAATTAAGTTTGGCTCTTGAGGTCTGTATGTAATTTTTGATTCATGGGTGACATGCATAGGTACTTAAAGTTCAATCAAACAACCGTCACGCCGACAAGAATCCACCAAGACGTCTTTTACAGGTCACTGGTATGTTTCCAGATTTAATAAAATACAAGAGCTGATTTTTTAGTAACGTTTGTTTGTCTTTTTTTTTTTTTTTTTTGCGTGCTATAAAATCAGTAGGACGTTTTCATATGGTTTCGTTTTTTTCCTTGATTCTTGATGTCTCAGTATTATCTTGGACAACAGACATTTCGCAATGATGCTGACATTTTATGCTACATTTTGCAGGCAAAGACATGAGGATTATTGTTTATGGCTTTCGTCCTAAAACCAAGCAGGTGAAAAACTCTTCACTTCTTCTTAGGCTTACCATGTTCATTTCTCCTTGAAATCTGCATGACCTTTATGATCATACTTTTGCAGAGGCGTACTGTGTTTGATGCATTACTGAGGTGTAGCAAGCCGGAGAGAGTATGGGATCTTTATACTTTTGCATGCGGGCCTTCCAAATTTGGCAACGCAAACCCAAAGGAAAGATTGCTTAATGAATATTTCCGTCTTCTCGGAAAAAGTTCACTACGAGCATCAATGGATATGATCGAAGAGGGATCGTTCACATTGTCGAATGAGCGCTGGCGGATAAGCGACTTGAACTCCAATTATAACTTGTGTCAGAGTTATCCATTTGCTTTTATGGTTCCAAAATCTATAAGGTAGGACATTGTTATCTTTCACGAGCTTTCCAACAAAAATCCTCCACTGATTTGACATGTCTCTCGTTTTCGTGTCGGAACTAGACCATTGTATTGATCAAAATCTAAAACTAACATATCACTGTGGCTGATAGTGACGAAGAGCTGCTCCAGGCGTGTTCTTTCCGAGCGAAATGTCGCTTACCTGTGATCACGTGGTGTCAGCCAGGTAGAAATGCAGATATTCTGGTTGCGTCCATTTCAATTTTGGGTGGTATTGCTTCCACACTGACATGATCCTTTCGGTTGTAGGCAGTGGAGCTGTAATTGCACGCTCATCACAGCCTTTAGTGGGTCTTATGATGAATATGAGGAGGTACATTAGACTTCTATTTTCATGAGGATATATTTGGATAATAGTTTAGATTTTATTTTGGATTTCAAAGTTATTGAAGCGATAGATTCTGAAGTTTGATTTGTTTCACTTATCACCGACAGTAATTTTGATGAGAAACTTGTTGCTGCATTCTGCACTCAATTAGCTGGTTCTAAGGGAGAACGAAGGTAAGCTTTTGTCGTTCCTTTGATCTTGTTTACTCTAACCCGTCTGTAGTTTATGTGTCGTTATAGAGAGTGAAAATGATGAACCATGAATGCATCAAAAAAGCTCTCTTTGGTTGCAATGAAAATATCTTCTTTTGCTGTTGAATATATCCAATATGGTTGACAGTGGTTTCCCATTAACAAGGATGTGCTGAACTCATTCCATATGGTTGAGATATCGAAAAAAGATGCACTTATCTCAATCGTATTTTTTACTGACGTAGGAAACTTTATATTGCCGATGCGAGACCGAGGAAAAATGCATTAGCAAATGGAGCAATGGGAGGCGGCTCAGAATCATCTTCAAATTATTTCCAATCTGAAGTCAGTAAATGATCTTCGTGGTTTGATGCTCAAACTCTTGATCTTCTGGAATTGCTTGATTTTAGTAATGGTGTTTCTTTCTTCAGATTGTTTTCTTTGGCATAGACAACATACATGCAATGAGGGAGAGCTTTACCCGGCTTAGAGATTATGTAGATATGCACGGTACAACATCATCTGATGGGCGATCATCGTTCTTGGTGAGTACTGAATGTCCGGGAACTTTCTGTAATTAAAGTTGGTATAGATATTCAATTTTTGCTTTGGCACATCAATAATGCGTTTTACGACTGTCTCATTAGCATGCGGCTCTAAGATAGCTTGAGCAATGAAATGGAAGTCTTATGTCCAATAAAAGTTGATGAGGTCTTTGGAGATTTATAAGCTGATGAGAATTTCATTCAACAGCACATAGTTTTATAATGTATTAGTTGTTTTGACAGAGTTCCTTTAGAGGATATGATATGATCTATTGTAATTTTGTTCTTTTACTTATGTTACTAATCATTGAGATATATGTATGCGTGGAATCTGCAGAGACACGGTGGCTGGACTTGGGGAGGAGGCAATCTTAGTAGTATGTCTGCTTCCGTGTCTTTACTTGGAGACAGTGGTTGGTTGATACACATCCAGAACGTCTTAGCTGGTGCAGCATGGATTGCCGCACGTGTTGCAATGGAGTCGGCATCGGTTCTCGTGCACTGCAGGTTAGCTGTCTCGAAGTTCCATCACAATCCAATTGTTTAATAGATACCAGTTTCTATCTGTTTGATACGACGAAGATGCATCTGTTTTAGGCGGAAGCTTCTGTTATTGTTAGGATGAAGAAAAAGCGGGTTACGGTTGTTAGTATTTTTTTTTTGGTTATTTTATGACTCTTATAGTCTATGTCATTGCGCAGTGATGGATGGGACAGAACAACTCAGCTGGTTTCTCTTGCATGTTTAATGCTTGATCCATACTACAGGACATTTGCTGGGTTTCAGGTATTTCTTGTGCTTATTTTGGTGTTTCCGGGTTCATGTTTTTGTATGTGATTAACTATACTATAGACTCTATCGAGTTCAGGTTTTAGTTGAGGCTTACTTTGGTTTCTCATAAAATATGTTTAAGCTCTGTGAAATTGGTTTCGGGACGTGTTCTTAGTATTCATATCATTCATATGTTCTTTCCAACAAATTGTGTATCAACATTCTATATGCGGTTCTTGTTTTCTACACCCTTGTCTTATGTTATCTTTTCTATTGACCTCACATCAGGCTCTTGTCGAAAAAGATTGGCTTGCTTTTGGTCACCCGTTTTCGGATCGTGTAGGAATGCCTAACATATCAGGACCTGGAAATTTTGACTTGCCAAGGCAGTCTTCTTCTGCTGGAAGTTTCCCTTCTTCTCCAGTGCGCCAGTCTTCAGCATCAGCAGCCTCACAATCTTCAAGCTCTTCCCATGCGCAAAACAATTATTCACCTATATTTACGCAGGTGAGCAAACAGCTATTCCTTGCAATTATAGTAATCCTTTTGGTCTGTTTAGATCTATTTATTTCGATGGGTTGGCTTACAAAAAGTTAATACTATGTGTTTGCAGTGGGTTGATAGCGTTTCACAGCTAATGCGGATGTATCCTTGTGCTTTTGAGTTTTCTCCGGTATGCATGAAGGCTAACATTTTTTACAGACAATTTCATGTTCAACTTATTTCAGTAATTATAGTACTCATTGGCCTTCAAATCTTGTATTACAGACTTTCCTTGTAGATTTCATGGATTGCTTGCTTTCATGTCGTTTTGGGAACTTCTTATGCAACAGGTAAATATTTCTTACGAAGCTCCAAACAAAAGTGATTGTGAAACCATTTGGTATTAATGTGAGCTAATGTTCAAATTTCAGTGAAAAAGAGAGGCAGCAATGTGGGATCGCTGAAGCATGCGGATGCATATGGGCGTACCTGACTGATCTACGTTCATTTGCTGCAACGTCTCATGTGCATTGTAACCCGTTCTATGATCCTTTGAAATACGACGGCCCATTATTACCTCCAGCAGCATCTCTAGCCCCGACCCTTTGGCCCCAGTTCCATCTCCGGTGGGCCTGTCCCGAGGAAGCTAAAGCTGCGGATATCGAGGTCCAATGTAGAGCCATGAGAGCGAGATATTCCGAAATGCAAAAGGTGGCTTAATCAACTCATCTGATCCTTTTTTGATAGGAATAGATTGTTGTTTCAATGTTTTTTCACATCCAAGATTGATTCGAAACAGGATAAAGAAGCAGCGGAAAGAAGAGTGGACGAGATATCTTTTGCTATGGAGTCATTAAGTGCGGAGTTGCTAAGGGAAAGGCGTATGAGTTGGTCCGCTAGAGAATCTGCAAACCGAGCCACCAAGGAATACGCAGCTTTAACCCGAGCAGTACAGTCACTTGGCTGCAACGTTAACTTCACCACGTCGGATGCGGAAGACGACCCAAGAACGTGCTCTCTGGAGAATAGTAATAACCCTAGGAGGCGAGACAGACACGGGATCAACTCGGATGTCTCTGTATCAATCTCACTGATGTCTGAAGAAAGCAGCTGTGGAAGCCCGATGGGACGAGTTTGTGAAGCGTTGTGCCCGTTGCGGACAAGAGAAGGAGTATGTAGATGGCCTGAAGCCGGATGTGCGCACCTCGGAAGTCAGTTTGTCGGGTTAAAAGCAAACTTTGATGCGTTTGATCGGCTTGCCATCCACGATAGCTACTTCCAGTCCGAATGAAGGAAGCTGTAACTTTTAACAGAGTAAAGGCAGTGGAGGAATAAAAACCGTTAAAAAAAAAAGAAGGCGGGAGCATAACCATATAAACTGACACCCTGAGTTTTTGGAACGAGGGAGTCTCTGATAATTACTTTGTGTATAGCTAAATGTTACTTTAATTTTTCTTACTTACTATTTGCTTTAGATGTATGATTCTTTTTGGTTTAAAATTAATAAGGTTGAAAGTGATGTACAGTTTCATATTAATCGATTGATCCTCTGTAATTATATATTTTTAAACTCATGTAACGAAAATTCCGTACACTTTCTGCAGAGTTTGAATTAGGCAAGAGCTCTTACAAACCGAAATAACAGATTCATAAACTGTAATAAATCTTAATGAGTAAAATAGATTCTCTTGTTATAGATTTGTAAAACTTAATCGTGAAAAAAGAAAAAGTGATTCAAAGCTTAAAACACTCTAGGTGTGCAACGCTTAATTGATCATCTTCCGGGATAGGAGACGTCAAACTTACGGCCCAAGAAACGTCATTTAATGCCGAGAAGACTCTTTCTCTGTGCATACAACGAGATGTAGTAAATCGAAATCAATTGAATTAAGAAAACAAACAAACAAAAAAATTTAACCGACGGCGAAAAACAAATGAATTGACACCATCAGTCTCAACGGTTTTGAAGAGTTTCGATTGCCTTTTTCCACTGCAAAGCTCGTTGTTTCGCGTCTTCAAACGACAAAACCTTCTTCGGCTGCCAAATCAAACAAAAAAAGTGCCAACAAGAATCAACAGTCAAGTTTCATCGCCTAGAAATATAAAAAGAAGAAGAAATGAAAGCCGGTGAGAGTCATTGGATCGTGTGTTACTGTGCAAATCTTGAAATGTGAAGGACTTGAGACTTGAACATTGAGGTCGTTGGAGTTGTCAGACCAGATTATGTTCCCTTTTACAACAAGCTTTGATGGATCGACGTAGATCAGTCTTGGTTTGTTGGTGAGTATTAGCTGCACCTTCTTACTTGTGATCTTCTGTAGCTTCTTCACTGCTGATATCATTAGAACCGATTCTCCCGGTTCAAGAAACTGTTGCCTGATGCAAAGCCAACATTACAAAACCATGTTAGGATTTGAAAACAAGGATTTTTTTTTTTTTCGCGGAAATAAAAGCAATAAAGCGTAGTGGTGTCTCACCATCTCGAATCAAAAGAGTCTATGGAGGCAAGCCTGGTTATGGAACCTGAGGATTCAGAAGTTGAAGAGAGTCCACCGTGCCCATCGTTCTGCATGACCGAAGCGTCTCCAACGTGTGTTAGGTTCCATGGAGAACCGTCCCTCTCGGGAGATGCTGTCTGAGACTGCACAAGATAAAAACTGGATCAAGACAAGGACAAGACGGGAAACATTTCGGCGTGGTGGTTAGGAGTATATAATGTACCGAAGGATCTGGAGCTAGTTTTGGAGGAGTTTGTGATCTTAGGTTTTTCCAGTCAACTCCTTTGAAGAAAGGATGTCTCTTAAGAGAAGCATAACCTTCTGATCCAGCTCCTGGTCTTCTACTAGGATCTGTATCCTGAGAGAGTGTGCCAGAGCTCAAGACTTGTGTTTCCCTGATGAGCAAAGACTGGGTAAAGTGCACGCATAACTTACCAGCAACCGGTCGATGAGATCTCTTGCTGCTTCTGAGAAATGATTTGGGAACTTTATATCTCTCGCTATGATTCTTTGGAAAATCAGCCATTCACTTGCATCCTTGAATGGAGAAGTTCCTGAAAGCATTTGGTACAGTGTGCAGCCGAGTGCCCAGAGATCGTTTCTGTTCGTATGTGTTCCAGAAATACAAAATAAAACTGTTTTAAGCAAGAGGCGTTGTAGTAATCACCATAACCAAAAGGCTACTTCAAAGTTTGTCTCTTTTACCCGAAAGTTGCTGGAGAGGAATTGAGTACTTCAGGAGGAACATATGCAGCTGTCCCAACGAAAGTACACGCCTTATCATCTGCATAAGTCACCAAGATTTCTCATTCAGGCTTACAAAACAAGAATCTGAAAACAGTTTAAGTTCTTACTGATAAATAGGAAAGGACATCGAACTTCATATTACCGGAAGCCGCGTTGGGAAGTACTGTGATCTGGCTGTCTTGCATTGGCTTTACACTACCAAAATCAGCAATCTTAATGTGTCCATCTGAAGTCAGCAACAGATTCTCCGGCTACACATTCAAAATTCAAGTTAGCAATAACGTCATTGCTTGGTCTTAGAAGAAGTGATGATATGTGAATACGAAGCTACCTTAATATCTCGATGTATGAGACCCATATTATGTATATACTCAAGCGCATCCACAACTTCTGCACTGTAGAACCGAGCTTCATCCTCTGACAGACGACCTTTCTGCCAATAACAAAAAACAAAGAGAAGAACCATATATAACGCAACTACATTTTGAGAATATGAACCAATCTTCCAGATTCTGAAACCTTACTCTGGTAATTTGGTCGAAAAGTTCCCCACCTTCGCAAGATTCAAGTGCCATATCTATACAAATGAATCAAAACCAAAGGAACAAAGAACAGTTATTGTTCAAGCACAGAAGAACATTCATGGTCTACTGAAGAAAGCTGCTTGACAACAGAAACTACTCACATAGTGAGAATGTATCTTGAAATGTAAAGAAGAGTTTCACAACTCCGGGATGCTCGAGTTGATCAAGAACAATCCTCTCCAGTTTGACATAAGATGTTTTATTCTCCTTGGTGATGAATTTTTTGTCCATGATCTTCAAGGCGTACACAGCTCCATTTTCTTTCCTCTTCGCCCTAACAACCTGATTCGATTAATCCATAAGCGAAAAATCCAGATAAAGCAAACTCAAAGCTATGGAGAGGTTTCTCAGTTCCCACTACGATATGAATCGAGGAAAGGATCGATTTAGCCAGTAAAGCACCAGATTCAGGGAGTGAATCGATTCATGAATCAAACCAAATTGCAGAAGAAACGAAATTCGGAGAGGACACCATGAATCGAGTAGAATAAAAAACCTTTGAATAAGAGCCAACGCCATAGATCTTGTCGAGCTCGAAATCCTGGATCTTGAAATTCTCCTGAGGGGCCTTAAATGCGAAGCTCTTGCTTCTGGATATAGTTTCACCATTTGATGAATTCCCTTGAAGAACAAGCTTTGAATCAAATTCCTTCTCCATCGTCAACATCTCCAAACTTTCTTCTACATCTCGACGAGACCCATCAAAAATCACAGCTGAGATCAGAGAGACCCATTTGACATCTTAATATATACGGAAAATGATGATTTTAAAGCTTTATGTTATAATTTCAAATGCTGATTTTGGGCCTAAATTTAGAGAATTTTGATGTTAATTATATGTCTTCGCTCTTCAACACGTAACAAGATCCGCAAATAAGCCAGGAAAATTGTGATTAAGTGTGATCGTTATGATTCGTTAGAATTTTACAAGGAAATTATGTAATAAACCAGGAAATTGCGATCTTAATTATGTAATAAGTCGAGAACCCATCACAACAAAAGATGTAAACACAAAGAAACACCAAATATAATTAAGATCCAGCAAACAAACATGGTTTTACTGTAGCTAACGTCAGGGCATAATAAAAAGAAAATATATATAAAGAGCTGAGTGACATTGATTCTTCAAATAGATGATATATATAAGCAATCAAAAGAAATTATGCCTTTTGTATTACTTAATGTCCTTCGTCCGCCTTAGTTTCAGCAACTAATAAATAACTCTTGACTTTTGGATGAAATGCAATTTTGTGTGCTCTGCTCGCTGCAATATTAAGTTGATGATGAGAAATTAACATAACATATATGCATACACATACATGAACCTCTTTTTGTATTTTACCATGTGTTCAACATCAGCATGGGTTCGCAATAATGGATTAACTCCAGCTTGAAACAAACGGTCCACTATGAACATTTGGGCTGAAGCATGATCGCTTTGTACAACATGATGGAGAGCCTGAATCGTAAGAACATACAGATATAAAGGCAAAAGAATAGAGAGAAGAGGTAAAGGAAAAGAAAGACTTACAGTTTTCCCTTTGTTACATGTCATTCTTGGATCAGCATTTTCATCCATGAGCATATCAATGCAGTCCAAGCAATCATGTTGTACTAGCATGTGAAAAAAGGTCCCTCCCTTGTTATCAACATAATTAGGATCTGCTCATGCAGCAAGAATACTCTGTTCCAACAACATTCAATAACATTCCAATAACATTCACTAGTTACTCATTCTGAAAACCATAATTTAAAGAGGATGAGAAATATCCAACCTTTATGCAAATAAATAAATAAATTTAGGTGATAATTGTTATAGCTGAAATCAGAGAGACCTATTTGATCTTAAAATATACAGATAATGATGATTTAAAGCTTTATGTTATAATTTCAAATGCTGATTTCAAAATTCCAAATTGTAGAAGAAAGGCGAGAGATTTCAACTGAATGAAAAAGGGAAGATACAAATTAGGGGATTTGGATGAAGATGAGGTGAAGAAGAAGAATAGGAGGAATGTGGCACTTTATTCATCATTTCTTCTCTTTTTCTAAAAAAGTTCCATTTAAATTTAACAAATAAATAAACTATTCCTGTTTTATTTTGTTTGGTCTATGACATGGTGCCAAATGCCAATGTTGAAATGTTTTTCTAAGCAGACAAACCTCTAAATCATGGAAACAATATGGTTTTGACACCAATCGCAGATAACAATAACATGAGTAGATCTCAAATAATCACTAGCGGAAAATGATTAAGCGTGATCAATCATTATGGTCCGTTACAATTTTTCATTCTTCAATATCTGGTTGTGGTGATTTTGTTAATTGCATTTAGTTGAACTATGTAAACAAGTCAGCAAGCCATGACAAGTCACAACGAAACATGTCTTAAACACAAGGAAACGAAACATGTCTTAAACACAAACGAAACATGTCTTAAACCCAAGGAAACAACAAAGATAAGATCCGCAAACAAACATATCTAAAGCAATCAAACGAAGCTCTTAAATCGCCAAGGCTTGCATGCTGGTGATGGCAGAGCTAGATGGTGCTCCTTGTGCTGATGGGAAAAGTTTGAGAGAGTCAACGTGATTGTCACCTTGGAGCATGAGGCGCACATGATCTTCAGCGATTTTGAAATTCATGGTCGCTGCAAACCGCACTTGGTCTCGAGCGAGCATCACATGACGTAAATGGAAGCCGTGTCGGACAAGGTCACTTTCAGGGACAATAGTCGTTCAAAACCGTAGTGAGCTTATCCAGGATGCGTCTCTGTGCACGCCTTACCTTACCAACATAGATATAACGGTACGATTTCTTGAATTTTGGGACAACAACGGCTGGTCTCTGATTCTCCCTGAGAGAAAGGATGTCGTCAACAAAATCCTGTTTATTCGGAACCACACTCATCTCCTTCCCCAGTTTGTAACTTTTTTATATCTTTGTTAATAAGGGCTGACGCTTTGATACAATATTATAGTTTTAGAAGAAATTCGTAAAGTAAAACTCCACAGAACAAATGGTTCTACTCACTTATTAGTCTCTTACTTCGTTTTGTCAAGTTCGAAGCCTATCCCCTACCACCAACCAGTTGCTGTTTTTTCCTTTCTTCTCTCTTTAAAATTATTTTTCCTTTTCTCTCACTTTAAAATTATGAAGTTCGACTAAGGCTATATATACCCCCGTATACACGTAATGGCTCTAATTAGCTTTAGCATTATTCGAGGAGTGAACTTTTTCCTCTTTGCTTTCTGTGTTGCATTTTGTACTTTTTACCAAATGTGGTGTTATATGGGAGAAAACTGATACTGAAAACTTAAACTAGCAAGTTCCACTATACAGGATTTCAATATGAAAACCAACAAAACACATCAAATCTGAAAACTTTGTACAACGATTTTAATGAAATACAAATAATAAATCCGAGTCTGAAACTAACAGAACAAAAACAACAACAAAACACACCAAGTCTGTCTAATTCTCATCGACATTTGACATACAACAAGTCTCGTAGGCAGTGGACAACTAGATGATGAACTGTAATTTCAAATGGTCGCTGCAAAATGAAAATTTAATGATAAGATTATAAATAGCAAATTTAAATAAATATGTACATGATTTCTCTCTTTTTTGCATCTTACCTAGAGTGCATGATTGGACATTCACTCCATAGTTGCATTAGCACCTCTATTGAAGAGAAGTTAAAGGCTAACATAAGAGTAAATTTGGACTAGCATATGTAGAGGAGTGCGTTCTTTGCAATCAGTAGCATAGCTCCAACATCAAGTAGACACTAAAACAAAAATTCATCATAATTTAAAGAGAATGGTAAATATGCAACCTCTGTACAAAAAAAAAATTAGGTGATAATTATTGTGGATAAGGTAATGTTTAATCTTATTTTTATTTTAGAATAGTTTGATTTTCGATTTTTTTTTTCATTTTATGAATATATATACTAAATTAAAAACCAAAAAAAAAAACTCAAAATATTATTTTCGTACCATTGGTCTCAATTAACAAAGATAAGGATAAAATGATGTGGATTCTTAGTATTTTTCGTCGGATTTTAACTCTTTTATTAAATAAAGGCTGATCGATTTTGTTAGTGGGATCGATTTGTATGGGGATATTTTTATTCTTTATTGAAATCAACTAGAGTATTTCTCAAAATATTTAAGTTTATAATCTCAAGCTGAAAAGACAGAGTTATTTAGAACATCCGCATTGCTAAAGGTCATAAAAAAAAACAGGTTCTCAACAATAAAATGTATTATTTTAATGTAATTTGATATATCTAATTAAATGTCAATACTTAAAAAAAAGTTGAACTAACTAAATTAAAGAGGACAAGTGTGTTCAAAGGTTCTAATTCTGATAATGAGAATCCCTGCTCATTTTCTTTTATACTATATAATTTTTCTCTTTTAAAAAAAATTGTGAACTGCCATGTGAGTCCAATGGTGATGCTCTTAAACTGACTTTTTCGGGCTTATTCAATGCAACTTGGGTAATTCTTTTTGCCCAATATAAATCTTAAGTTTAGCGATTTTTTTTCTTGCGAAATTGAGAAAGTTAAGTTTCTCCTTGTTAGGAGAAAAAGGGAAATATATAACACTAGAAAAAGGGTTACGTATCCAACAAGAAAGTTCATCCGCGTCAAGTTCCCATAAATGGGGTGCAAAGCAATACAAATCTTCAGACATTGCCACAAACGTATCCATCTTGTCTGAATTTCACATCATCACATTCAGTTTTTCCGGGCAAACCTTTTCAAACTTGTGGATAGCTCCGCCGCTGCCTCTTCACCGATTTTTTCTTCCCTTGTTAATTGTTGCATGTGTGTTCTGCTCTTGCTCCGGGAATGTTCCATCTATTTCTTCTTCTTCGTCCGCTTGCTTGGCTTATTCCTTCATTTCGTCTTGTTCTTCATCTCAGTGCGCTTTGCTGCTTCTATGGCCACCTCTTTCTCAGCTTCTATCTCTCCTCTCGTTGGCTTCTCTTTCCTCCTCAGCGGTCTCATCATCACAAACCAATCTCTGTTTCGATGTTTCAAATGGATTATCCACCCAAGAATCGATATTGGCTTCTCCGGACATGGAATTAGAATGCTAGACCAACCCCAATCCCAAGAACATTTTTCATATTGTCTGAACATAAGCTTCTCGATCTGATAGCCTTTAACCATTGAATGGTTCATAGCTATGTAAAGAACCAACACTCGACTCTCCTAAAACCGGAACAAACGATCCAGTTCCAGCTGCTAGCAAACCTCTCTGACTGAAACTCAGCGTTTTGGTATGTTGTTTTGTATTATACCATCTATTTCATTTTATCAAACCTAAACCCTTATAGACAAATTTAGGCATATTGTTTCCCCCCTATGCTGATATTTTATAGGATTAGTTTTTTTTTTTTCCTTTGCCATATGATTTCCTAATTATAATAATAAAAAATTGATTGATGAATTTGATTGGCTTAAGATAGATCTGTTATATGACTATTGTTGCAAATTCTTTTTTTTTTAAATTATTGTTGCAAATTTAGTATTATCACGTACATCTAAAAATAAACTTTGTGGCTGGTTAGTTTTTCGAGAGTTTGAAAAATCATTAACAAAATAGTATACGACCTTGATGGGTTTTATTTACAAAATTTACAGAGAAATATACTTTACAGCTTTAAATTTGACCCACTTCTTGATAGTGATCCCCGTAACGGCATGACCGACCTA